CAAAAAACACATTAAATTCAATTAATTTCACTGTTATTCCTGAGTCTGAAGTGATTGTGTTAAATGGCATTTAATATCTAATTAAAGCGCTTCTGTTAATAACGCCGACACTATTTCGCGGCAATACATCGACAACGAAAATACCGGAATCTATTTGTCTGATTGGCTCAACCCTATCGTTAATGTAGTTAATTAAGTCCAGATCTGTTGTCTCTGAACCCACTTTGAGCACAACAAATATCTTAAAAGTGTTGTTCAATTGATCATTCGATGGACATTCTTGGTCTTCATCTGCGGCCACAGTATCGTAATCGGGATCAATGTCTTCGCAATGAATGCCGATAACTGTAGTGTCGATGACATCTGGATGTGACAAAAGCAGTAATTGGAGTTCATTTGGTTTAAACATCTGATCCTCAATGTATATAATGTCGGACGCATTGGACTCGATATACACATTGCCGTCGCTATCGTAATATCCGGCGTCAGATGTCTTAAAATAACCATCATTTGTCATATTATTGGCTTTTGAGGCATTATTAGTGTCCGATAGATATTCGTGTCCTAATTGTTTGCTTTTAACACAAATTTCTCCGATCCGATGGGCGGGTAGTGTATCGCCACTCTTCATATCAACTATTTTCAGTTGTGTCCCACTTATCAGTTGTCCCGAAGAATACGAGTTGTATTGAAATGATTTTGTTTTGCGCAAACAGGCAATTACTCCCGATTCTGTGGTCCCGTAAACTATGGATTAAATGCAAAATACATTAAATAATGATTAAAATTATTTTCTAAAAATTCTTGTAAATGTATACCTCCTCTAAAATATCTGCATTTAAACATATTCTCCACACTTTGTCTCACATTATTGTAGTCATCAAAGACTCCGATATATAAAATTTCTTTAATACTCGACATGTTATATAAGAGATTGACTTCATTTTTGATCAATAGATTTACATCCGATGAAAAGCAGATCAGTTTTGAGACTTTATAACTTTGAATGCTATCCAAATATGAACCAATGTTTGTGTCAAAAGTGCCATTAATTATCACTGTCTTAGAGCCGCCGACTAATGAACTCATAAGAAATTCAATGGCAAACAGTTTGTCAAATGGTAACAAAATGATCACATCTTCACTATTGTTGCATAAAATCTCTTTGTCTTGCATTTGTTGAATGGCGTGAATGAGATTTGAATGTGTTTTGGCCACTAATCGACGCCTCCCATCATTAGTACCGCCGGTAAGTTTAATGACCGCTATATCCGATTCATTTCTGTCCACAGGTTTCCTCTTATTATCACTTATTT